CTGCCATATTTAGATATAGACCCATGGGGAGCTGCCATATTTAGATATAGACCCATGGAGAGCTGCCATATTTGTATATAGACCCATGGGGAGCTGCCATATTTAGATATAGACCCACGGGGAGCTGCCATATTTAGATATAGACCCACGGGGAGCTGCCATATTTAGATTCGGCCCTAAGGGGGCCTGACAGCTCAGTGGACAGCGCTTCTTATTCATAGTCCTGAGGTTCCGGGTTCGATCCCTGGTGGAGGCGGAAACAAATGGGCAAAGTTTCTTTCACCCTGATGCCCTGTTACCTAGCAGTAAAATAGGTAACTTTAAGTTAGACAGCTGCTACGGGCTGCTTCCTGGGGGTGTGTAACAAAAAAGGAGGCCTGGTCGAGGACCGGGCCGCGGGGACGCTAAGCCCCGAAAGATAACCTCAAGATAGATACGATGCGCCATTATATCCGTATACGAAAATCTGCCATGAAAGAATTAATGCTATCCATACCACATATCAAGTATGCGTTTTAAACGTAAAATATTTATTAGTAAAACATTAATACTAAAGTCAAGAAAAATTATTATGTGATGTATTATCAAAGCAATTATAGATATTCGTGTAGCACGCTGGCAACAAATAACTACTCCATAAAAATGGAGAAGTCTGATAAGTGAACCTCTGGATCAAATATAATTGTTGTACCAAACAAGTATAATCCTTGAAAAAAAATTTAAGAAGTATAATCCTTGAGAGCAATAATATTCCCAATTATCCACTCATGGCTGCCTAAAAACTAACTTTCAACTATGACCTTTAATAGTTAAATGCTTGCTGGTGGTCGACGAAATTACCATTGGCGAAAATTATGGCTTATTAGTGTTCCTACTAGACTTCCAATGAACTGGCTTAAGTGGAAACATCAACATTTCTAACAGGTTTCCAAAATCTCAAAACGGCTAGGCTTGTCAGTGGCTTCAAATTGCTACTCAGGGGGGTAGAAATAGCCTAATCTACTCTATCCCTTTGAGATGTATTTCTTTCTTATCTCAATAAACATACTTGAACTTGAAGGTCAGGGTTTCAAGCCAGTTTAATATACCTTCTGAGTGCATTATTAGCCTGAGAAGGTAATGAGTACATGTAGTCAGCCGTTGTGTGGTTTGTGATTAAGAAACCTTGCAGTAGCTTGAGAATATATGGATATATAAGCATCCAGTATGGAATTAGAGGTTCCTCCTTGCAAAGGGCGATGCTATGTCAACGGGACTGACATTCTAACTCGTCTTCCTAATAGAACGTCGCATGTTGACGTATTCTTTACCTAAAGTCAAAAATTGTCGTACTAGAACCAACCCGTCCTCCTAAAAAGAACGTCACTTTTGGCTCGTATGCGCGATATGGCCAAATTTGGACGTAATTTGAAATGAAATCGACTCACAAAAGTGACGTTCTGTTCCGTTTTCTATTTGAGTCGTCCCGCCTACGCGCAGACGTTATGAGAGGACACTACATTAACGTTTTTCATAACGTTTTGAAACTTTATGAGAATTTCCTGCCCACCTAACCTATCAGAGGACCCTTAACTTACTGTTGGTGAAAAACAAAATCCCACATTTATTTTAATTTTTTTTTCAATTTCAAATTACGTCCAAATTCGGCCATACGGGCAAACGGCCAAAAGCGACGTTCTTTTTAAGAGGACAGGTTGCTAGAACACGGTTGCGGCTCGGGAAATATACATACTGTTCCATTTTCTGTTTTGGGTCCTCTGGTAGGTTAGGATAGGAGACTTTAGTACGACAATTTCTTGACGTTTGGAAACCTTAGGAGGACGGGCTTGATATTCAGTTGTTGGCCAAACTTAGCGGTGGTTAACGTGACTGACCGAGAGAAGCACACATACCTGTGTGTGTCTGTGAGCGATCAACATTTGCAATGGCATCAGAGTCCATGATCGCCCTTACAATGACACGAGTGACCATAATCTCCCAATAGCTTTATTGCACAGGATCAACCGTGCTATTGCTTGAATATACACGATCACCCATGCTTACAGTGTTAGCAAATAAAAAGGAATTAACGCAGGAAATAAGATCTTAAAAGATCCTTCCGTATACATGTCACAGTGCACACAACACAGATTGATTGATGATTGATGAAGATTAAGCCACATAAAAGGTGGCACGGGCATGAATAGCCCGTAAGTGGTGGCCCTTTTGAGCCATTATCAATATCAAGAGCTGATACTGGAGATCTGTGGAGGTGCGACTGCACCCTGCGTGACGAGAGATGTCTCCTGTGCACAACACAGTTCGCCAACAGACTTTAATATCAACCTAACCTAACCCAACCAAGCCAAACTTAATCTATTTGACCATACCCAATCCGGACTTTCTTTTCAGGGAAATTCCTGCGCGGGCCCTAAGCCTCTGGCTGGCCCACTAAGTGTTGCTGAGCACACAATAGTACGGCTCAAGCCTCATGAAAAAAAAAGTTAGCGATGACCTTGAAACTTGAACCAGTACCGCATCATCATTTTTTATATACACACATCTGCTGCGTCACCCCATCCACCAGGCTTTGAATTAAAACCAGTTCAAAAGCTGGTTAAGTATACATAGCTTCCCCTATATGGTATATAATATGTTTAAACACACGACGGGGTGAAATTGAGTAAAAAAAGAAAATCTACAATTCAACGAGCCCCCCCTGGCTAACAAATCTGGATAAGCGGTTTATTTTTAGATAAAATTGTACCTTGTATTCTTCAAGTAACGGGGACGCTAACATATTGTTTACCTAACGGGAGGATACTAGATCAGTGCTAAGGTTGTGGGCTGTCAGGGGAGTCTACTTTCAAACGGAACTATGCACGACGTTCCATTTCTAACACGTGGGAGTTTAGTTTGGTGCATTTATGATGTTGGCAGTGCCCGTTCTGCAGGTGGTAGTGACCGTCATATCATGATATGAGTGAAGACGCTCATATCATGCCAACATGGCCCCTGTAGGGCCGAGTTAGGCACATCATGCCAGCAGTACGAACGAGGGAATAATAGCCTCGTGGTAACTAAATCCTAAATTCTTTTTTTGTTGCATCACCCAGGCTTATTTTCAATAGGCCTGTATACCATTGCCTGGCTTACACTGTTAGGTTAAGTTGATTATTTTAACAAATATGTTTAGGCCTGTTTTCGAGTTATATTTGTTGCATTGGCTAGTTAGGTAAATTTTCCTTGCAGTCTCGGAACGCAAGGATTTGCAATCATAGCTAGTCACAGCTGAAATGCTCAGTATTTTGTATGTTGAATATGCAATAGTTAAATTATAATAATATATGCAAATGAGAGAGGCATACTTTGTGCTCTTTAATCAAAACAATATCATGTAATTTGCATATCTTGGGTCTAGCATGTTGTATTTAGCATATTGAGTATCATTTTATTTGTGTGCAACCAGCAGTTCCTGTTATGTTTTGAGATTATAAATACAGGTATTTAGTTCAGACCACTTAGGGACATGGGGAGGTTACTTACTTACTCAGATCTTTCTACCAGTCGGCTGATGCGTTTTTGATTTCAAAAACTAATGTCCTTAGTTATGGCAGCCAGTGTGAATATTACATACAAGTTCCGGAGAGTAACGTATTGGAGTAATGTAAAATGTTGGCAATGTACACATTGCACACAGAAATTACAATTGCATGATGCATCAAATGAACAAATCCACAAGAGCCGTGACGAGGATTCGAACTTGCGTCCGAGAGAATCCTCGTCACGGCCCTTGTGGATTTGTTCGCTGGCAATGTATTCTACACTTGTCAAAAATCAATATAAAAGATTCATGGAAAGTTGTTAGGAGTCTATTTGGCACCTCTTGTCTAGGGGGGCTGGCCAGCGCCACTCTGTAGCCAAAAGAGGCACACATCACAGCCCGTCCTCCTAAGGTTTCCTAACGTCAAGAAATTGTCGTACTAAAGACCCCCCCCCCTTATCCTAACCTACCAGAGGACCCAAAACAGAAAACGGATCAGTATGCCAATTTCGCGAGCCGCTACCATTTTTCTAGTGCGACCATTTTTGGTCTAAGGTAGAGTGTTAGTTAAAATGCGACGCTCTATTAGGAGCACGGGTTGCACATCATGCCAGCCTTTCAACCGTAGCTCTATGTTTCATCAAATATTCTCTCACCAAACTGTCCTCTCAACTAATAGGTCACATTTGTTACGTTATCCTAACCATCGCTACAAATGTAGCGTATTAAGTATTGATTAACAAATATTCACGTTTTCTATGCATCGGACTCTATAGTTTAGGGGGAAGGGGGGGGGGGCTAGGAGGAGGGTAGGGAGGGGGGGGGGGGCTAGGAGGAGGGTAGGGAGGGGGGGGGGGGGGTTCGTGGACTTCTGGTTAGACAAAAGTTGCATTTTTACAGAGTAGCACATCGAGAGTCCTAACAGAGTTGTCGTCATTTTCCTGTTTTACGGGCTATTCATACCCGTGCCACCTCTATCACATGCCTCTGTATGACTAACCATCCTGTGATGGGGATTGTTTAGCATCATGTAGTCCGCCAAGGTCTTTTTGCGCTACCGCTCACAGGAAAAAGATCGTTTTTGCGCTACCCCTCACAGGATGAAGGTCTTTTTTGCGCTACCGCTCACAGGATGAAGATCTTTTTGCGCTACCCCTCACAGGATGAAGGTCTTTTTTGCGCTACCGCTCACAGGATGAAGGTCTTTTTTGCGCTACCCCTCACAGGATGAAGGTCTTTTTTGCGCTACCCCTCACAGGATGAAGATCTTTTTGCGCTACCGCTCACAGGATGAAGATCTTTTTGCGCTACCGCTCACAGGATGAAGATCTTTTTGCGCTACCGCTCACAGGATGAAGATCTTTTTGCGCTACCGCTCACAGGATGAAGATCTTTTTGCGCTACCGCTCACAGGATGAAGATGAAGTGCACAGTAAACTAACCGCCTGCGGAGGCAACAATGAAAGGTCACACTTACCAGTACAGGATGAAGGTCAACGCCGTACATGTCGAGCCACTTGACCTTCTCCAGGTAGCACATCTCCGCCTTGGACGGCACCTGTCCACTGTCGTACAAGGAAAACCAGTCATTAGTGTGTCTCCTCCACAACACATCAGGTGTGTGGCAGAAGATATAAGTCAACTGCACCCAGATTCACGAAGCAGTTACGCAAGCACTTACGAACCTGAACATCTTTTCTCAATCTTTGACGGCTTTGTTTACAATTATTAAACAGTTAATGAGCTCCGAAGCACCAGGAGGCTGTTTATAACAATAACAACAGTTGATTCTGAAGTTTTAATGCTTGTAAACTGCTTAATATATGCAACCTTAACCAATTAATTAATTCTCGTACTGTTACTGAGCTTTACCTTCGATAAGAGGCACATAATCGGTTCAGGAACTGAACCCTCTAGTTCGTTTAGCTAAGCAAATAACAATCTTTTGACGCTAGTTACACAATTATTAATGTTATATATACATGTACACATACTCATCTTGAGATTATCTTGATTATCATAATTTACCTTCAAGTACTCTGGCTATCAGAGGTGATGGTCACAGCGCGCCCTATACTGCCTTGGGCCCCCTCCCATGGTGACTCCCCAGCTCCTTCTCCCATGTTGACTGCTGTTTGGTCCACCTCCCGCCTATCTCCATTCGCACACACATCTACATCCGATTCTTTTATTTTGATGGGGATGGGGGGATGGGAGGGGTGGGGTGAGAGGGGGGGGGGGAAGAGATGTGGTAGGCATCCATCAGTCTCAGGAGACTATGGAATTGCGCTCTGGTTGTCGGTCTGGAGTGGCCTCTCCAGGGCGCAAAGCCAGGGTAGGTTGATACGGAGAAGCTGTTACCAAAGCAGCAGGTACACCCCCGCCCCCAGAGATGGGACTTACACATTCACACTCAGTCCAAGTATTAACCAGCTATGGTGTCTGATCTTCATTCCTCTGTGTCCTCACTTTTCCTAGTCTTATTCCCTCTCCCCTTCCTTCCCCCCCCCCCCAACTTCCCTCTTTCTCAACTCAGGCGCTTATATCAGTCTTCAAGTCTTTAAGGCTTCACCTTGAGATCTTGAGATTATTTCGGGGCTTTTTAGTGTCCCCGCGGCCCGGTCCTCGACCAGGCCTCCACCCCCAGGAAGCAGCCTGTGACAGCTGACTAACTCCCAGGTACCTATTTACTGCTAGGTAACAGGGCCTGACGACAACATTAACATACTCCGTGGACCCTTACATTATACACTCTAACTTCTCTCTCTCTCCTCAAAGTAAAGCTATATCTGCTTCCCTGTACCTTCAGTACCCTCTCTTTCTCCACCTCTCCACCACCCCAATTCCTGATTCTGTCATCTAGGGGGCCTATTACGCCTTGCCCCACCCCTTCCTTCCACTCCCCACTCTCACTTCACCAGGACTTAAGAATTAAATAAAAGAATTCTTAATTCTTAAATTAAAATTAAAATTAAATTAAATTAAAATTCTTAAGAAGAATGGGAGCCGGTCGGCCGAGCGGACAGCACGCTGGGCTTATGATCCTGTGGTCCTGGGTTCGATCCCAGGCGCCGGCGAGAAACAATGGGCAGAGTTTCTTTCACCCTATGCCCCTGTTACCTAGCAGTAAAATAGGTACCTGGGTGTTGGTCAGCTGTCACGGGCTGCTTCCTGGGGGTGGAGGCCTGATCGAGGACCGGGCCGCGGGGACACTAAAAAGCCCCGAAATCATCTCAAGATAACCTCAAGATAAGATACAGAATCTGTATATTGGCCCACGAGCGGCAGTCTCATGCCATTACGGGCTCACCATAGCCTGTGCTACATGGACACTTCGTCCTGAGTAGCTAAATCTGAAACAACAACAACAGTCTCATCGCACACAGTACCGCTCCTGTGCCAGGTAAGTCCACTACGGGCTCACCGTAGCCCAGGCTACTTCCCCCGCTTCTGTGCCAGGTAAGTTACGGGCTCACCATAGCCCGTGCTACTTGGAACTAGTTCCGAGTAGCTGAATCTATAACAGTCTCATAACCACTCACATCAGTTTTTTGTGAAGTTCGGCGATCTTGTTCTCGAGGGCGACCGTCTGGGTGGTGACGAACCGGAACTCTGAGACGTAGCCGGGGGAGTGTCGCCTGGGGTCGTAGTCGCCAAGCTCAGCTGCGGATCAACAAACACCACAGTCAAACGGCATTCAACTCACGGCCAAAGGTCAAGCGGCCTTCAGTTCATGATCAAAGGTCAAGCGGCCTTCAGTTCATGGCCAAAGGTCAAGCGGCCTTCAGTTCATGGCCAAAGGTCAAGCGGCCTTCAGTTCATGATCAAAGGTCAAGGGTAACACCTAGAATAATTATGACCCGTTTTTTTTAATAGCTTAAAACTGGTCAATGTGTGACATAGTACAAACCTTTACACGAGAAACAGGTAAATAGTGATGGCTGATAATCCACCTGATGGAAGCCGGTCGGCCGAGCGGACAGCACGCTGGGCTTGTGATCCTGTGGTCCTGGGTTCGATCCCAGGCGCCGGCGAGAAACAATGGGCAGAGTTTCTTTCATCCTATGTCCCTGTTACCTAGCAGTAAAATAGGTACCTGGGTGTTAGTCAGCTGTCACGGGCTGCTTCCTGGGGGTGGAGGCCTGGTCGAGGACCGGGCCGCGGGGACACTAAAGCCCCGAAATCATCTCAAGATAACCTCTCCAACAGTGATTTGTTAGCCTTGATGACTGGAAAAGGCACCTAATGACACTGGAAAGTGTGGTTAACGTCTTCGACTCTAAGCCGAAGGCCTCAGGGGTCAATTTTCAGGCAGCATAGACACGTTTCCTTTCACCTGATGCCTCTGTTCACCTAGCAGGAAATTGGAACGCAGGAGTTAGACAACTAGTGTGGATTCCGTGGTTGGAGAGGTCGGTAGTTGGCCGCTCTGAGGGATGTCGGTTAACCCCGACAGGGGTTAATTATTGTATTTATGTATGGTTTAGGATTTATGTATTATTGTATTTATGTATGGTTTAGGATTTATGTATTATTGTATTTATGTATGGTTTAGGATTTATGTATTATTGTATTTATGTATGGTTTAGGATTTATGTATTATTGTATTTATGTATGGTTTAGGATTTATGTATTATTGTATTTATGTATGGTTTAGGATTTATGTATTATTGTATTTATGTATGGTTTAGGATTTATGTATTATTGTATTTATGTATGGTTTAGGATTTATGTATTATTGTATTTATGTATGGTTTAGGATTTATGTATTATTGTATTTATGTATGGTTTAGGATTTATGTATTATTGTATTTATGTATGGTTTAGGATTTATGTATTATTGTATTTATGTATGTATTATGTAATGTATTTCGTTGATTATTGTAAAATAAACGAAACTAGAAAAATATTTACTTATCTTATTTACTTACAATAAATTTATTTACGAGAATAATAAATTATGAGAATAATGTTCATTCGTCAGTTGGTCCCGGGTTCGATTCTCGAGCAGGGCAAGATTACTTACACCAGATACCTTTGTTCACCTGACAGTGAACAAAGGTAAAACAAAGGTGCACAATGGCTAAAAGAAAACCCACGAGTTAGTCGACTGTTGCAGATTGCATTCAGGGAAAGGTCAGTCTGTCTCTAAATGACATTTGCATAACTCAGAAATCCCGGAACTTGCATGTAATTAAAACACAATTAGCTACAGATTACATTGCAGTATCTCCACACTCCTATTCTCTTTAAAGAAATTTATATATATATATATATATATATATATATATATATATATATATATATATATATATATATATATATATATATATTTTATTAAATATGACCGAAAAAGTAAGATTAATAATTCTAACACGAATTTTCTCAATCTTTCGTACATTATGCTTCACTGTTGGAGGTAAATCAAAAATCACTTCTCCAAAATTCATTTTTATTTCTAGTCTGACGCGACACGGGCGCGTTTCGTAAAACTTATTACATTTTCAAAGACTTCACAAATACACAACTGATTAGAACTTGCGTTTCCCTGATTTTATATCTACATTTGAGTGAGGTGGGAAGGGTGATGTGGCATTACATTTGAGTGAGGTGGGAAGGATGATGTGGCATTAGAGGATATTAATAGGGTATTAAAAGTATCAACACAAGACAGAACACGAAACAATGGATATTGAATAGAAGTGTTTGTAGAAAGCCTATTGGTCCATATTTCTTGATGCTTCTATATTGGAGCGGAGTCTTGAGGTGGGTAGAATATAGTTGTGCAATAATTGGCTGTTGATTGCTGGTGTTGACTTCTTGATGTGTAGTGCCTCGCAAACGTCAAGCCGCCTGCTATCGCTGTATCTATCGATGATTTCTGTGTTGTTTACTAGGATTTCTCTGGCGATGGTTTGGTTATGGGAAGAGATTATATGTTCCTTAATGGAGCCCTGTTGTTTATGCATCGTTAAACGCCTAGAAAGAGATGTTGTTGTCTTGCCTATATACTGGGTTTTTTGGAGCTTACAGTCCCCAAGTGGGCATTTGAAGGCATAGACGACGTTAGTCTCTTTTAAAGCGTTCTGTTTCGTGTCTGGAGAGTTTCTCATGAGTAGGCTGGCCGTTTTTCTGGTTTTATAGTAAATCGTCAGTTGTATCCTCTGATACAACTGACGATTTACTATAAAACCAGAAAAACGGCCAGCCTACTCATGAGAAACTCTCCAGACACGAAACAGAACGCTTTAAAAGAGACCAACGTCGTCTATGCCTTCAAATGCCCACTTGGGGACTGTAAGCTCCAAAAAACCCAGTATATAGGCAAGACAACAACATCTCTTTCTAGGCGTTTAACGATGCATAAACAACAGGGCTCCATTAAGGAACATATAATCTCTTCCCATAACCAAACCATCGCCAGAGAAATCCTAGTAAACAACACAGAAATCATCGATAGATACAGCGATAGCAGGCGGCTTGACGTTTGCGAGGCACTACACATCAAGAAGTCAACACCAGCAATCAACAGCCAATTATTGCACAACTATATTCTACCCACCTCAAGACTCCGCTCCAATATAGAAGCATCAAGAAATATGGACCAATAGGCTTTCTACAAACACTTCTATTCAATATCCATTGTTTCGTGTTCTGTCTTGTGTTGATACTTTTAATACCCTATTAATATCCTCTAATGCCACATCATCCTTCCCACCTCACTCAAATGTAATGCCACATCACCCTTCCCACCTCACTCAAATGTAGATATAAAATCAGGGAAACGCAAGTTCTAATCAGTTGTGTATTTGTGAAGTCTTTGAAAATGTAATAAGTTTTACGAAACGCGCCCGTGTCGCGTCAGACTAGAAATAAAAATGAATTTTGGAGAAGTGATTTTTGATTTACCTCCAACAGTGAAGCATAATGTACGAAAGATTGAGAAAATTCGTGTTAGAATTATTAATCTTACTTTTTCGGTCATATTTAATAAAATATGTCTACAGGAAAGACTGCTACCAAAATATACTAATATATATATATATATATATATATATATATATATATATATATATATATCCTATTTCACATTAACCCCTTGCATTCTCATTTGTAAGTGAGAAAGAAAAGAAAATTAATAAATTTTTAAGCTAATTTGCTTAAGAAAATTAAACATTTTCATATGCAAATTAACAAAATGCTGTGCCTTGATTATTCTGCATGCTGCTTGTGCCTATAAAATGATTCTTACCAACATTTTATTCTTACCAACATTATGCCCGAAACGCTTTGCGTAATAGTGGCTTTAGGCATTGTATGTACTAGCTCTACCTATAAGTCAACCAATCTTTGTAAAAATTTCTTGTATGTATGTACCTTACCTAAATAAACATTTATTTATTTATATTTATTTGAATGTCAAGATGCTAAGTGTGCATATGGCCTTTTATCACAGCATTGTCTTCAATTAATTTTCAGATTTTCTTGTATGCAAATTAACGTATGCCAATTTGGATAGGCTACTTCAATTTAGTTATAACAATGCAGGCGATGAGTCACAATAACGTGGCTAAAGTAAGTTGACCAGACCACACACTAGAAGGTGAAGGGACGACGACGTTTCGGTCCGTCCTGGACCATTCTCAAGTCGATTGTGAGAATGGTCCAGGACGGACCGAAACGTCGTCGTCCCTTCACCTTCTAGTGTGTGGTCTGGTCAACTTAGTTATAACAAACCTGTCCCTAACAGCTTGAAGGATCTTAACAGGAATCTTGTCCTCGACATTTGGGAACCAAATGCCTCTATGATCATTCCCCATCTGTATATTGACCTTTTGTCCAATACGATCACTAAGGTCACCTCAAGGACAAGGTCACCTCAAGGACAAGGTCACCTCAAGGACAAGGTCACCTCAAGGACAAGGTCACCTCAAGGACAAGGTCACCTCAAGGACGAGGTGTATTACAAGTATTACAAGGACAACTGTGGCACTTGTTCAAGAAATAAATATACTGACACCTCTCGTCAAATAAACAAACATTTACACATGAAAACAAAATTATACGTTGTCAAATAAAAAACAATGGATATACTAGGTCACATAAAAATCTAAACATTTATACTCGTATAATCAAGAAGAATCGCAGAGGGGAGGAATTTTTGGGGTTTTTTAATTATCAGGGGAAAGCGTCAAGCCGTTACATATAGCACATGGAAGGGGTCAGGATAAGGATTTGGGATGGGACAGGGGGTTAAGGAATGGTGCCCAACCACTTGTGGACGGTTGGAGATTGAACGCTGACCTGCATGAAGCGAGACCGCAGCTCTACCGTCCAGCCCAAGTGGCTAGACTTTGGGAACTGTACATAATTACCCTGCATGGAAGGAACAAGTTCCACCAAAATACCATCCAGGTCATGTGGGGACGAGGCATCCACCCTGTGGTCAACCCGTCCTCTTAAAAATAACGTCACTTTTGGCTCGTATGCGCGATATGGCTAAATTTGGACGTAATTTGAACAGGGTAGTGGTTAAGGCGGTCTCAGCTTTAACACTGGGACTAGTCTCCTCTGGTACTACATGTAGCCTATCGCAAGTTCAAGTTCAAGTATGTTTATCGAGACGAACAAAAATACACCTCAAAGGGATAGAGTAGCTTAGG